TGTATATATATGTGTATATATATGTATATATATATGTATATATGTGTATATATATGTGTATATATATGTATATATATATATGTCAGGCTTGGTGTTTTCTTTCCCCTCCATAAAGCTATATCAGTAGCGTTACTGTGTGGATCATGTAATCATTTTTCCCTCTCATTGTCCCGGCCGGTCAGCGTTTTCCTCTAAGAGCTAACACAGAGCCGTATCGGAGAGCTTCTGTAATTTAAGTCTGACTCACTATCTTGCTTGATTCAGACATGAAAATGCTCTTAACCCAGAGCTGAGTGAATATGCAGGAAAGAAATTCTTCTTTTTTTTTTGAGCTACTAAAAAGCCATAATATAAACATTTTAGGCACAACAATCAAAGTTTATTTCTGGAGCATTCTGGGGAATCCTCCCATGCTCCTTTTCAAGACATTGTTTTGGCTCTTCTAGTGTAAGAGATCGGGCTGCTGTGTGAATATGTGTGTGTGTATAACAGAGGAACCCCGCTGTAAAAGAAACGAGCTATCTCAGGCAAACTAAACCCATCTACAAGAGTAGGTCTATGGAACAGAGACAAAGCCAGGCTGTTTTTGAGTGCGAGTGTCTGTGTGAATGCGCTGACTGTGCAGATAGTGCCTTGTTATTTTCTGCAGTTCCCAAACTGACGAATCAATAAGGTTGTAAAGTAAACATGATCATCGGGGTGATGCACGGCGGGTTGAGGCAGAACAGAGCAGGTACAGGCAGGCAGGGAAGATGCTTCTGATTGCGACAAGAAAAATATTATCTCTCTGAAAAAAAACAAAATACACTAGACCTGACTTGAAGATCTGTTTACCAGTATCTATTCATCTGATGTCGCTATTTAAAGATCCATTAGTGCTTATTTATGTCCGAGAGTGGCTATGCATTCATGTTGGGTTTGTGTATTTTTAGTCCCCTTGAGGTCCAAAGAAAGCCTCGGATCAATAATGAATGAGTGAGTGTATTTAGGTTGCACCTCTCAGCCCATTGTACAGAATATCTTTGTATGAAGTACTGCTTTATGGAGTCCCGTGTGACTCAGGATAGTCTGCCTGATAGGAAGGACCAATCTATAAAGAAACATGCTCTTATTTATTTTATATTGTCAGGCGTGTTGAGTGTAATCTCTGCCGACTAGATACTATTTATAGACTTGTGTTAACACTGGCAGGTGGATAACTTTGTCTTATTTTTTACCGTGTCATGTGCAGTTAAAGCTTTAAAGCAAGACTACATAACTTTCACTTAACAGCGGTCACTGTGGCCACTAGTGACTATCACAACATAATGAAAAAAAAAGAATTTTCTGAGTCAGTTGGCTCGAAATTACATCAATATGGTGTGCGATAGTGACCTTTAGAGGTGCTGTACGTGAGCTGAATTGTTTTTTTTCTCCTTTGAACAGAAGCCTGGCCAGCTGTTTCCCCCTGCTTTCAGCCTTTATGCTAAGCTAAGTGAAATGTTTCCTGGCTGGAGGGATATAAAAGTGGTATCAATCTTTTTATCTCTATTCAACAAAGCAAATAAGCTTATTTCCCAAAACGACAAGTTATTTCTAAAAAATAGAAACCTTATAGGTAGGGAAATTAAAATGAGACCACAAGCAGAAAAGCACAAACATGTCTGCTGGTGATGTACCACTTTATTTTTGTCATAAAAACCATTCAAATCTCCATCTGGGACACGCTATAATGTATTGTAACAGTAGCTATGGTTATTTATCCTGTATAAATAACCATATGGCTTTTAAAGCTAATTAATATTAGCCATGATAAGCTACCAGTCGTACCAGACCAAGTAACACCTGAGTGTATTGAATAAAATGTGTGTTTTATTGCTTATAAATTCAGCTTTTTATTTGTAAAGGGGGAGATTGTGTTCTTTCTTCTTTCAAAATTCACAGTCTCAGTTAATGTCTTGAATGCTAGTGCGCCTGATGTGTGTGTGTGTGTGGGTGTGTGTGTGTGTGTGGCCCCTGGTTTCAAACACATGGGAAGTAAAGATTGTATCTTGGTGCCAACCGCTTCTTTTTGGGTGAACCCTCCCACACTGTGCCCACACTGAGTGAATGCAAACCAACGGGCGTTTTAGAGGGTGGGCGCGCGCGTTTAGGGTCGGCTGCCAAGTCAAATGTAATTAGCTTTGTGTAGCTGGATATTGACTGGCCTTCCTGACTCTCTTTTCACAAAAGCGAAGGCCTGGTCTTTAATTCAAAAGTGCAACCCTTTTAGCCAAGGGACTGTGCGGAAGAGTGCGATTAAAGAGAGTGAGGAATGAACCGATGGCAGTGAGTAGAAAGTCTTGAGAGGAAGTCCTGGAATGGAGACGGGCTGCGCGGCGGCTGGCAGAGCCGTAGTCGTCTCATCTCCCTCGGCTAAGCTCTTTATTCTCTGCCAATGTGAGGAAACGGGAGAAGATGGAGAGCACAGAGCGGACGACGCAGCCGGATCGCCTCCGAACAAACGGTGAATCTGGGTTTGACAGAGCAGAGGAGCCGTTGAGTCAAGGCCCTCGTACGCACCTGCCATTCCCACAGCGACAAAGTGAAAAGACAACATTGTGTATCCTGCAGATCTTTTCATAGTTGTGTTTTGTAAAAACCGTCTCCCATTATGACTGACTGGTCCCACTGGTTTGGTTTATAAGAATTAGTTTCATTCAGTTTGACCGGTGGCATAGAAACCAACATAGAGCGTTTGTGTCTATGGATGTGTGTGAGCTGCTCCAGTGCGTTGCTTTCTAATAACCTCCGCAATTGATTAACGAGGATGACGGACAAAGGCTGGCATTTTTGCAGGAGAAAGGATATACTGGGATTCTCTTGGGAAACAAGCGCAAACTATCTCTCTACAAAAGAAAACAAGTTTAAGGCTATTCCCCCCCCCCCCCCCCCCCCCCATCCACCCACTGCTGTTTTCTTTCCATCCCCTCACTCTCCTCCTACCAAAATAGAGTACCTCAATTTAGCCCATCTCTGCTATCTACTCAGTGCTGACGGGAATTGTAGGCTGAGGGCAGGCTATGCATGCTTCCTTTTGAATTTTGATCGGCTCTAATGGGATTTTTAGCCCCCCTCACATGTCCGTCAGGATGCAGCCTCCTTCCTTCAGACTGCCAAGAGTTCTATTACGTGGCTCCCTTTCTGTCTGCATTCGTCCCCGTGTCTGTCTGGAGCATCTCACGGGAGCATCACTTTCTCTCTCAGCCACGCTATAAAGAAGCAAACCTCATGTCTTTTTTTGGGTTCCTCCATTTCAGTGTGGGTCCGTCGAGCCCGTCTCTGTTCTTTGAGAGCACGCTGAACTGCTGTGACTCAGGCAGGAGAAGATGTTTGGTGTTAAGAGGGATGTGGTGGGAAGACGCTACGCTTTCCACTTTACTGTGGACAAAAAAACAAAACTCTTTTAGATTTTGACAAGCAATGAAACAATGGTAAATAAGGAAATATTGGCATACAAATATTTTTGTATTCATTTTATATTGCAGCAATAGATCTGCAAGTACACACCAACACAAAACCTTACGTCTCACATGTATATACTGTTTCTTACTCTGGTCAGATTTTGGCAGCTTGCCATAACAAATGAGCAACGTCAGACCTAAAAACAGATGATCAAACTACATTAGGAAAACTGCACAGGAGTCAGGACCTAAGATAAACGGATCTTAAATATCAGTGAATCACATTTTTGCATAACAGTTCCTCACCCTGCATGTCCCAGAAAACCAGGGGAGGAATGAGAGCACAGATTAACTCCGGGGGGTTACAGATCTATAGCAAAGTGGGGGCGGTTGGACGGGTGTTGTTCTGTGTGTGAATGTGGGAAATGCTCTATTTAGGGAGGCATGATGACACATATTGGGGGGGGCATTGTTTTCACTTTGTATTCATGCTAGCTTAATGGCAGATGTACAAGAGCATTGTGGGTGACCTATATGTGTACTGGATTAGACGTGATGTCAGCTTTGAAAGGGTGCAGCTACTCTTTGTTTAATCAACCCCCCCCCCAGAGAAAGGGGGTCCCATTCTTCTTGATTAACAGTCATTTGAAAAGTGAGTCACGATCCGTGATCAGTGTTTTAAAGTATCCTTCTGCATGATCGGCTTTCTTAAGACCCGCTCGCACCAGAAAGTGTCACAGTGAGATTCATCCAAGCGTGGCTCAAGATGCTCGGTGACACAGTGACTACTCGCAGGGCTAGTTGGCGAACTAAGCTAACTGAGCTAGCTGCTAACAGGCTAGCCAGCTGGGAACATCCTCTCATTTAAGACGGGTTTCATTGAAGCAAATCCAGATTTATTTTGACCTTTAAGTCACTAAAAAATCACAGCAGTGAAATAATTTTCTCTTCATGCTGAGGTGGACATTTGAAGTGCTTGTGGTCATTTTCATGAGTGCACACATTTTTTATTGTGTATTTATTTTCCTTTTTTTTTGTTGTATTTTATACTTTTGCTACTGCTTTTTCCTGACACTGGTGTGTGCGGAGGTTAAATGTACCAAAGGGACAGCAAGTCTTTGCTCACATGGATGGACACACAGGTGGTGAGTGGTCCCTGCCTCCACAACCAGCATCATGTTGCACGCATGCACACAGGCTTCTGCTTTCATCATCTGCCCTGAGGCGATGCTGTGTCTTTCAGTGCCACAATTAGTCAGGTCTTGTTCACTCTGATCTCCCCACGCTCACCCAAAAACAAGCCCCATGCTGAGGAAAAGACATGTCTAAAGCCATGAAGTCAATCCTGCTGCACAGCCGGAAGGCACATTTTCTTCATAGACAATTTCCGAACATTGCTCTCTGCAGCCTGAACACGCACAGTTGGGCCAGTTGTGGTTTTTCGGTACCCTGTGTATATGTTGAATACATAAATATAGAGTGTGTTGTTTGTAGTATTTACAGACTTGAAAATCATATTATCTAAAAATAACACAAATCAGAAGTAAGCCGACTCAAATGTCATTCTCAACCAGGTCCACTGTACAGAGGAAGTCTTATTTCTACTCTATTAGAGAGCATTGCAATATGTCAGCAAGTCCAAGCTTATAGTTGTGTACAATGTCAACATTCCAGAGGAGCTCATGGCGGAAACTCATAAACAGTCGTGTGTGTGTGTGTGTGTGTGTGTGTGTATATATATACTTGCACCTGTATATCTGCAGTTGAGTTGAATTGTGAGCACGATTGCATTCAACACAATACACCTTCATACTAATTGACTTCAGCTGATTTGGTTACTTTAGATTCGGTCTGCAGTTTATTTGTACTGTACACACTAGCTGTAGGGATGGCTCTGTTGGTCGGTTGGTCGGTCCACCACTTTTCCTGAGTACAGCCTGAGCCTCACAGTTCTGCAGTGACTGTAGACTCTTCTGTCTTTTTTTAGTAAAAGTGTATTTGGAACTCTTTATCATCATCTGCATCTGTTCCTCATTGCAAGAAGTCAGTGATTCACATGCATCAAATGTAACTGTTTGTGTCTGTGTCTGTATTCGGTCAAAGTAATTCTTTGTTACTTTGTTTGTAAATTTATAAATTTGGTTCCGTCATCACGATTGCCCCAACAGAACGATAAGAGACGAGTTAGATTAGAATTTCATTTGCATGGTTTGCGACCGTTGGTCCTTTGATGAATGGTGCCGTTAAGCTCTCACTCACTCTCGCTATTATTCTGCAGATCTGAATCCACCACATATGTCCGGCCACTCCTCAGGTCTCCCCGGCAACCAGCTCTGCCGCCAAAACATGTCTTTCTGAACTCCTCTCCAGGTTTGGGATGGGCTCAAAGTTTGGTGCAGAAAGAGAAACTAACCCCCTTCCATTAGCATATAGAACTATTTTGCAGGTATCCAGTTTTGAAAAAAACACAAGATTGAATTGAATACATTTTCACTAATTAAAATCTACGTCTTACCGGAAACCCTTTTATCCATTTTACTTAAAATAAACATGTCAGGTTTGCAGGTTGTTCTTGTCTGCCTGGAAGCATTCTTTCCTAGCATGAGTAGGCAGATAAACGTGGCCTATTGCATTATGGTTATCGTTTGTTGGGTAATGATTGAGAAAAGTGCTGCAGGCTTTTGAGCTGGCAGATAGGCTGCCCTACTTCTAAATGTTATTTGTCGTGTGTGTGTGTGTGTATATATAGATACATATGCGTGTGCGTGCCCGTTCATCTCACTTCTCTCATCTTGTTCCAGTGTGCTACATAGAAAAGCCTCAAGGTCTCATTCTCCCGCTCCGGTATGGTTCAAACCTCCTCGTTCTCTTTTTGTTTCGCTACCTTTGTCTCTCTTTCATCGTAGCTGCGTTTGCTCTGCATTCTCCCGCTCTTGTCTCAGGTCTGTGTTGGTTTAAACGAGCAGGAAGCAGTCCGGGTTTAAAAGCTCTCGGCTGAAGTTGACGTTAAGCCGCTACTGACTCCATTAAGCAGTCACGGGAACCGACTCCATACTTGCCATCCAGCATCTTTGGTTGTAATGTGAGGTGCACAGGTCTCACCTCTGGTTTAGTGAAATGTGCTACACTGCGCTACAAACTGGGAGACTTTGCTAACAGATGTGAACTTTCTCATATCAATGAATTAAATGTGGGTTTGATATGCAGTCAGTTGACCTTTTTGCGTGTGTTCCCTGAATGAAAGGTGTAGAAGTGGCTGCTTAAACAAGCAAATTACATATGTGAAGGTTTCTGAGCATTTGTTTTGTCACAACTTAATGAATAGTCTGACATATTGCAACGCTTATTTGCTCTCTTGCCGAGAGGTAGATGAAAACAATGACAGCACACTCGTGTATGTGTGCTAAATTGAAAAAGCTACTGCCAGCAGCCAATTAGCTTAGATCAGCACAAAGACTGGAAACAGTTAGTCTGGCTCTGTCCAAACTAAAGGTCACAAAATCCTCCTACCGGCACCTCTAAAGCTCACTGATTAACACTTTATATCTTCTTCTTTTAATCCATACAAGACCAGAATAAAAGAGGCTATCATATGTATTTACAGGCTTTTTAAGTCCCGATACCAAAGACCGATCAGATACCAGTGTTTAGTTAATAAGCTGTGTGCCTCTCTGTGTGGAGATGAAATGATCAGTCTATCAGGCTTGACTTCAAACATTGCTTTCCTGATGAAATGTTACAAATAAATACATAGATTTACTTAACTGTTCTTTTTTTATTTAGAAAATAAATGATACACCAGCAACTTGGTAAAAAAATCTTTGAAATAAACAGGAATTACAGTTAAAGTATAAAACATTTTAATGCAACATCCAACTGGTCAAAACAGGAATTAAAAGTTCAGTAGATAATGTATATAGTATATAACGAGCACGCACTTTCAAAAACGACTTGGCAGGTGATTGGATGAACCAGCTGTCAATCACATTGTTGCCGAAGCGATTTGGGAGAAGGGCAAAAAAACATGCTTCTGTGTCATCTTTTCACATTGCAAGAATCCAGCCACAGTGCAAGTTAGTACATTGGGTTCACTCCTTATCTACGATTTGCCATTTTGTTTTCATGTTGTTACAAAAACCCAAATTGTATCTGTTGCGTTCGACTAATACGTGGTTCATGGACGCTTTCAGGAATCCAAGACTTGTCAATGGGATTGTGTTTTTGGCTTCGGTCTATTCGGGACACAATGGTTGCAACTTGTTATCCTCTAATTGGATAAATGATGTGTGCAAACCGCTGCTGCTCACCCGACGGACTCTAAACTGTCTTCAGCACTGCCATCCGCCCAGCCACTAACAGGATAACGTATTCTCTGCAGTCCAAATGACGGGGCTAATGTGACTGTCACTCAGATTAACAACATCTCGCTCTCGCATAGGACCACGTCCCTGCCTGTGAAACTCTGTCCGTTCATTAACGTCTGTCACTGAGGCAGCTTAGGTTTTTCAATCAAAGCTGTATTTTCTGCTGTGCGACTTACTTTAGTATTGTTTATATAACACGCTGCTCTGCTGCATTCATCGTTATCTCCACATGCATCAAACCTTTCAGGGCAGGAAAACTGAATGGATAATGAGGGAGGAGACACCCCATGAGCCGCATAATCAAATGCACTGGAGGCATTAGCATATTTTTGGAGCAGAACTTCCCAAACTCTGTACTTTTTTTTCATGTTTTGTTGCGCTTGCTTTTGAATATTTTGATCCCAATTGGATTTCATTATAATCTTTGACTGGTCTGGTTTCTCACTTTCTGTGTGTGTGTGTGTTTGCATGTTATGATAAAAACCTGCGCTCCTCAGATGTCTCTCTTATCTTTCTGCCTGGTTGTCTCTGTCTCCCCGGGCTATCGCCTACATCTGGTGCATCAAACAAGTAGAGGAGTGTTTTCGGGACCTCCCAACATTATCCGGGCTCCATTATACAGCTGAAAGCATGACTGAACTGACCTTCTCTGACAACCTTTGGTCAGTAACAGTGGATATGAGATCTCTGTCAGTTTGGGACGGTATTAAACCTGCCAGACATCCCTTTGTCTTTTTTGGGGGGGTAATATCACATAGATGGCACAGTGATCCTCTTGGTTATAACACTTAATTCTGAACATTGCTCATCTCCTAGTCCTTTGATTCTGCACAAAAGGCATTCAGTGCTTTTGATCCATTTGATTGCCTCTTATCTGCTGCATTGCATTACTGATGGTGATTCCCAGAGCCTCAGCGATAGAGAGCCACCAAATCAAAACACTAACTTTGCTGTTTTAGAAAAAAACGATGATACCATGATCTCATCCCCAAAACGTGCAGACATCATTAAGTAGAGTGGATCTGACTGTCGTCAATCAGTAGCGCAATTTGCCCAACCTTCTGTTGTCAGAGAAGTTGCTGCCGGTGTAGTGGGCTACATGAGAAGCTGTCTCTGTCCTCTCAGACACGGATTAAAGCTACTCATGACTGAGCTTTATGAAAGCTCTCGCACGCTATTAAAGCCTCTTCCAAAGGGCTTTTTTGGGGACATGTCTGCATGTAAGGCACAGATGGCGCTCCCCTGATTCACACCCCGACGTTTACCCCCCTAAAACAGGGTTGACAGGTGGTTAATCAGGCTGTTGATTTGGCCTCAAACCTCACATTGTTTTATTAAATGGTTCATCACCTACTTTCTTGTCCCCCCCCTCGTTTCCTTTCATCATGTAGCTCCTTCACACCAGCTGTATAGTCTCCCCGGTGCCCTGTCCAATCACATATAAAGCTACAACTTATAAGATATGTCCATATTATATCTTCAATCAATATGTTAATTATGCACACAAGTCACTCTTAGCACATTTGAGGTTATCATAGATCTCTTCTTCTGCACTTAAAGAATTGAATGGTTTGTACAGAGATTGGGAGCATTTTCGATTGTCCCTCAACGGCTCCCAACACGTCGACTGCGGGCCGTCGTCATGTTGACTATATAGTAGCTCAAACGCTGTAACTGTGTTTTTACAGTATATGGATGTAGTTTGGGGATGGTTGCCCCCCTGCACTGGGTGCTAAAGGATTTAAGAGCCTGTGATCTGACAGTGTTCGTCCTGGTAATCCTATTACTCTGACTGCTGCTTTGCCAGACGACTGCATTGGACAGGGCCATGCTCAGCATCTCTGTATTTTTCATGGTCCCATTGCAGCTATTCACATCCATAACTAGCCTCAGCCTGGTGTTACAGCTTAAGTTGGTCATGTTGAGTTCAAAGAAATAATTATTTGTCTAAACAGACAAACACAAATTACTCAAGTGAACCAACGAACCATACATATCTTGAAAAACTCACTTTGTCAGTGCTTGTACACATAGATTTGTGTATCTGGAATGTCTACCAACCCACAAACTGGAAAATACGACGACCATGTCAGTTTTTTGTGGGCTGCTTAAATCAGAAATCATGTGGCTCCCCTTCCTATATGTCCCATGCAGACACATTAGTATAAATATATATATATATATATTATACCTCCTCCAATCTGAGAATTTGCACCGTTTTGATTAAAAACTACCTTTGCAAAGGTGCACCATATTTTCAATTAAGAAGTTATGAAATCATAAAAAGGCATGAATTCCTTCTCCCACTTTAAGAAATCCAGGATCTACGCATATGCAAATATCTATTGTTCAACCTCACCAGCAATGATCTGATATATTGTGGCTCATTTTCTTAGATTTCAGCAGAGTGACTTGTGATTCAGATTTGCATTTAAAGGAGACAGTTCACTGTCTCTTATTGCAATAACTTGGAAGAGGTTTTCCGTGTCAGACTGTCTGCAAGTGTAGTTCTGCTCTCCTTCCATCTTTCACTTTGTTTTTCTGTAAGTTATTAAATAATGTCAATAATAACCTGAAGACTATGAGTAGATCTATTTACTGTAGTGTCTTTGTGAGTACACATGCGGATGTACGTACTTTAGAGTGTATCCGTGTGTGCACCTTTCACACGCATTGAGAGTAAGTGTTTGGCATGCTCAAGGCGTTCCTTTTGTATTTCCTCCGCGTCCCATGTGACTAACCCTGAGTAGACTCCGTCAGCGCTCTGTGACTGGCTGTCCTTTCACTGTGCCTGTCAGCGAGTCACTCAGGCGTGGGTCCACTCTCACTGCAAGGGCGCCAACGCTCGAGGAGTGCCTGCACTGGGTCTTATAGCCTCTTCCTCTGACAAACCTGCTTCAAGTGTAGTCGATTCCTCTCCAAAGGTACGAATCGACTCGTCCCGCATCACGTTTCCTGTTTTCATCTGTGGCGGCTTTTCATCCTGACTTTTCCGCTTTAATTTGAGATGGACTGACATGACGATGATGATCAATTAAGTGTACCCCATGGTCTGCTGTGATGGCTGCCCACAGTTCAGGGCCTTTGATTCCTTCCCTGCCTCCGTCCAGACGTATTAACACGGGCCACGGGGATTGATCAATCCTGTCTGTCAGCCACTATAAACACACTTGCAGTGTAAGTAATGAAAGTCATTTATCTGAAGAAGTCACAGCTGTAGCTCCCAGATGGAGCCGGAGCAGTGTCGGTGCCAGCTGTACTTGCTTATCGGTCCAGATTTCTATCACTGAAATCCAGACTAAACATGCTGGGAAAAAAAAGACAAAAAAATGCCCTTCAGTTTAAGTCCAAAGTTTATTTCACACTAAAAGCCTCAGATATTCGACGCCTTTGCAGTAAATACCAGTCTTGCTTGTAACCCTGCTGTCATGGAGAAGCTCCCGTTAAGCAGCCTCTTCAAGCTGGTTGTTTCCTGTTAGCGCCGTGTCTCCCACAGGACCAGACTGCTGCTGCTCGCTGGAGGCTGCCAACAGACTGAGCCCAGGAGTCCAATCCATAATACGGGCACTCGGGCGGAAACCACTCACGTAGGCACAGACAGGCACCAACCCGCAATCGTTTTTTGTTTTTTTTTACATGTTTATCTAGCTCTTGTATCTTTATTCTTTTGTTTCACATAACACCCAATGTGCACAAACACAAACTCCCGTCCGTTCCTGGTCTAAGCCAAGGTCGTTGTTCATGGTAACTGCCGAGGTAATTGCTCCCTTATCGCAATGATGAGACGAGCCACTTCACGCCAGAGGTTTGGGCCTCTGCGGCATCATGGGAGTCACTCCGTCCTCCCCGTTTGGCCGTGAGGCGGAGAGGACTGTCGGAAAAAATACCACTCACAGGGAGGGAGACTCTGGTTCTTTGTTTAAGTAATGGGACATTGCAAGATGCGACTGCTTGATTGTCAAAAAAACGCCATTTCCTTCTCACAAAAATTAGCACTCACAGTTGGAGTTTAACATGAAATTCATGTGCAAATTTTTATTTCAAATAGTTTTCCAGTACTTTGATTTCCCTCCTCAGTTAAATGCCAGGCTGTTGGGCAGCTGTTGTGTTTCTCAGCTCCCAACAGTCATCTCTTTGTGTACCCAACTGGGGAGAAAAGCAGTGAAATTCCTTGGAACTCCCCAAATCCTGTGAATTGTAATGAAGGGGTTGCTAGGTTGCCATCTATAGGGCCTATTGTGGACTCCTGTATGGGTTCAGTGGTACTACAGGGAGCATCAATGACCCACAATGCACCCCGCATTCCACTGCTTTTCAGGATCGAAGAAGCGGAGTGGGGGGGGTTGCCCATAACTTCTCATTCCAATGATTTAAATCCAACTCATTCATTCACTCTGAAAATATCCATAAATCGTTCGAGGTAAAACATATTTGTCCTCCTCCAACTTTTCTCTTAAGATTTCTCTGAAGCCAGATTTGAAAGCATGAACCAAATAACATTAACTGAAGGAATCCGCTGGCTTTTCATTAAGAGGTTGCTGACAGATAGCCAGGCGGTTTAGTTACAGTATCTGCAGCACAACTACTTCCACTAAATGACTGTTCCTAGAACTGCTTTCCCTCCTAGAAAAGAGGAGATGAACGGTTGACTTCACTAGAGTCCCTCGTGTCCTCTGGGGTGTCCTCTACAGACTCAAACCTCCTCATCCCTCATGGTATGAAGACGAGATTAGATCTTGATCTGTATCTTGGGCTCATGAGATCCAGCTTGTTTGTGTGTATTCATACCTGTTGAATAATAGTTGTAGGGTAAGTTTTGCCTCCCAATGCTTACAAAATACCACTCTTTACACTTGAAAGAGTAGTTTAACATTTTCTGAAATACGTCTATTCACTGCCTGTTGAAGAGGTAGATAAGAAGACCAATATCAATGTCAGCTTATCTTAGCTTAGAGACTGGAGGTAGGAGGCCAGCCTGGCTTTGTACAATGATAAAAAACCTGAAACAGCTTAAGCTACTCCCAGTGAAACCACAACCTATCGTTTCTACATTTCGTTTTCTGTAAGGATTAATATTGTTTTAATTTGTGAGTATGAAGGTGCTGGTAGGTAGATTTTACCTTGACACAGAGCCAAGCTAGCTGTGTCTTTATGCTACACTAAGGTAACTGTCGCGTGGCTGTTGCTTCATATTCAGTGTACAGATATGAGAAAGATATTAATCCTATCACCTGACTCTCTGTCGACAATGACTTTTCCTTTAACATTCATTCACACCTTCCCAATGCTCATATCATAGGTTTTTTTCTGTAGTGGCTAATATATGTTTACAGAATATATTCTAGAATTTCAAAGAAGCCGTCAGACCAAATGATATTGTGTTCGCTCGCTCAGATATTGCTAATGAAAGTGGCCTCTTGGCTCCTCTGGTTTGATCTTGCAATATGCTCTATTCCAAAGCGGCAAACTCCAAACGCACAACACTGGGATCTGAGAGGCAGCTTTCCTCTTCCTCGTTTTGTGCACATAGCACCAGCGCACAGCCATCGCCTTTCCATCTGACCTTTCCATCTATCTCATGATAGATTGCAGGGGAGCGCTGGCTCAGATTTGTTCCGCTGTCTGGGAAGACTGATGAGTCTGCCGGTTTAAATCCACACATCCAGGCGGAGAAAGGTTTAGAATAAATGCTCTCACTCTGTGTGCTTTGGGCTTGACCATTGCTGTAGCACTGCAGCACTCGCAGTCAGCACTGGAGGCATAGTTTTTAAGGTTTTAAGACAAATCTTTGAAGTGTTCCTCTTAGAACTCGGGGAAAGTGTTCGTTCCGCTGTTGATAACAAGAAAACCACAACAATGCAAGTGCATTAAACCCATGAATATTTCAAAGCACTTGTCACTTAAGCAAAGAAAATATAAAAATTTCATACTTTGGAATGAAGTTGCAAAATCCCATTTTGCTTCACCAGAATGCCGGCATAAACTGTGAATTATGAAAGAGCTGTGTGTGTGTGTGTGTGTGTGTGTGTGAGTGAGTGAATGTTTGGAGTCTGATGTGGCTGGTAAACGTAGTAAGTTGCCTTTGACTTAGCAGTGTGTAGGTTATCTGGGAAGTGTAGTTTCTTTACTTCTCACCCACTCTCATTGCCAGTGAGTTCTTCTAGATGTCTTGTCTGGTTTTCGGAGCTTCGAAATAGATTTTATATGAGAGTTTATACGGTGATGCTTCAGCAGTATGAAGTACAGTATATGGATGCTGAACATTACAAATGCTAGCTTGTGTAGTTTTATGATAGATTGTTATCTAGCTGTAAAGCCTGGTGCTCATTATGTTTGGTTACCACTTACCAGTGTTTTCAGGTACGCTAGCCAGTCACACAGTCCTGATGTTTCACACACACACACACACACACACACACACACACCTGAGACCATTCCCTTCCCTGGACATAATGATCATACACGCTTGGGCTGCAAATAACAATTATTGTCATTATTGATGAAGCTGCAGTCCATTTTCTTGATTAATTCATTAAATGTTTGGTATATAAAACGTCTTTTTTTTGTTCAACCAACAGTCTAAAACAAAGATATTCAATTTACAATGGTATTGTAACGTTTTTACAGTCAATGTGTGTAAAGTCTCAGACATGCTATCAAATACCTAATACTGTACTGAAAGCCCTCCACTCTGTGGGAGTGGGATGAATTAGTGATTACACTTGTACTATGACCAAAGAAAATATGGAAACTGGGGTTGAAAAATTAGCTAGTGAGACATAAATAAGATACAGACGAAGATAACGTTGTAATTCATTTTATCCACTTATTGAAGATAAAGGAAACAGCTTTTCTTCATTTTTTACCAGTTGATTGACGGGTAAAGGAAAAGTGTAGATTTGTATTTGATCTGATAACCTTTGACTTTTCTGTGAATTTCCTCATCTCATTCTATGCCCCAGAGCAAACATTGTAATCACAGGCTTCATAAGCCTAGTGCAACAGAGATAAATGAAACTCAGCACCTGGTTTTTGGTTTCACACGTTCCTTTCATCTCACCACCTTACCGCTCCACTATTGCAGCATGAGCCTTCCTCCTCTTTCTACGCCGGCTATTCCTTTCTCTCCGTCTCTGTGGTGTGTTTCCTCCTCTCTCTCTCTTCCTCCCTGAACCTATTCTCCATTTAATCAGCTCTCTCAGGACTCTGTTCTGTATAATTAGAGACTGGAACTTTAATCACCATGGATCCAGGGCAGGGAGAGCAGGGCATTTCAAATAGACACAAGAAAGAAAGAAATCAGCACGAAAGAAAGTATGGGAAACGGATGTGACAAAGAAATGTTTCTTTTTAAGTCATGGCATTTATTTGCTGTCGGCCTGTGCACCCGTTCTTACAGACAGGAAGGACACAAGGTGAACACAAGACAAATAAGACCCAAACTATTTCATAACCATGTCTGGTAGGTCTTGACCTTTTCATAATGGAACTAATTGTTCCATGGCAGCATTGTGTAGCAAGGTGTCCTTACATAACTGTCTCCTCACCTCCTCTCCTTCTGTCTCCTCCTATCTGCTTCACCTCTCATCTTCTTACTCCTGGCTTGTTTCCACACTTTCATTTTACCCTCCTTTTTAAACGACATATCATCCTCTCCTCTCTCACCTTTACTTATTCATGCAGCTAAACAATTCCCTCTTGCTGTATACCAACTTTGACAGAATGTGATAAATGGAAGATAGAAGCTAAAAAAATGGAAAATTGTCAAAACTCCTACTGTTCACCTCAATCTATGAACACAAGATGGCAAACATTAACTTTTACTTGGGTCAGTGACCTATGGTTTTTATTTATTCATAGTCCAAAGTATAACGTGGAGACATTTGGACATTAAAACACATTTTAAAGCGACTGTATTAGATATTTTTGTAATCAAAGAAGATTAATACCACTGTCTATATGACAAATATGAAGTTATAGTCAGGAGACCATTAGCTAGGCTACAGACTGGAATCAGGAGGAAACAGCTAAGATAAGATGGAGCTTTATTCATCCGAAGGAAATTCTTGTGGCAGAGTTTAATCAAAGATTACAAACAGAAGAATAACAAAAAAACAATAGAATTAAAAACGTATATGAACAATAGAACAACAATGGATTAACAATGACTAAGTGTAAAAGAAGAACTAGCCTTAACATATAAAGCTTGTATCATGTTCAATGGACAGACATCGGAGTAACATCAATCTTCTCTTCAAATGTTCAGCAAGAAAACAAATGAGAGTTTTCTAGAATGTCAAACAGTTTTCTTCTGTGTTAAACGGTGAAGCCAGACAGCCATTGCTCGTATATTTGACCTTGTACGACCCACTGTCTGTGGCCGGACAGACCCACCGTCGGCCTCGATAGCTGGTAGTGTTGAACCCCGCTTCATGTTTAAAAAGTGATGCTGATTTGATTCGACAGGCCAGACTTGCTTAGCTCCTCAGCAGAGAGCCGGGCCAGCTGACGAGGCGGAGACATGTTCGTCGCCCGGTGCAGACACAGCTGTTGTGTACCACTCAGCAAACATCCTGGGCTTTTTGCCTAAATGTTGTTTAATTTAGCGGCTGTAGTTTTTGTTATGTGCCCCTAAGAAGCAGAGACGCGATGCCTGTAGCCACGTGATCATTTCTTGTCACTTTCTATTCATAACAACTTATCAGCCGTGTGGCAGGTCCTCAGGAACGGCCCGGGATATTTTAGAGGATTAATGAGGTAAAACGTCCCAACTTTTAACCCTATTTATTCAGAATACAGCTGCATTGGGTATGTTGACCTATTGGATGTTGGTTCTCATTACAGTCAAGGTGAAGTTAGGCAATCTACCTCTGTTATCCAAGTGTCCTTCCTCTTTCCTCTGGCATCAGAGAGCTGCAGAGAAGTGTTCTTCACCCCCCCGTAGGCTTGCTTATTCAACAGACGTTATCAGTGCTCCTATTGTGAGCTTCCAAGCTAATAAAGATGTTAATGTGAAGTTCACTGCCGATCATGTTTTAGTGCTGAAAGATTGTTCCCAACGAGGCCCTTCATTCTGTAAGCATGCCAAATGTGCAGCAGGACACAAACAGCGACCGCAATAAGGAGGTCGAGTGGTGTGAGAGTGTGCGTGTGCAGTGTGACGACTGTAAGGCAAGTTTATTTATACAGCGCATTTCAGCAACAAGGCAATGCAAAGTGCTTTACATAAAACATCAAAAGACAGAGTGCAAAAGAAACACAGTCATGTAAATACAATTTAAAAACTGAGAATATGAAATAGAATCAAGCTAAAATAGAATAAGACAGTTTAATCTTCCTTTTTTGAGACTTCCTGAAATGTGTTGATTTCAGCCTCTCCAGTGTTGAGAATTATTGCATTTTTCTGTCTTACTTGATGCTAAACTGAATATATTTGCATTAAGAATTGTTATTTGAACAAAACAAGCCTTCTGGATGAATTAGTCATCTTGGGCTCTGGGAGCTTGTGATGGGCATGTAAAGTAAACAGTATTTGGCAGATTAATCCATAATGAAAATAAACATTGGTGAAGCTAATGGTTTCCAAGCTCCTGACTGATTCATCATGTGTTTTTATTCAGTCATGTGTAATCAACTGCAACCAAACCTCCTCTATGAAACCAACAAAGCTTAACTGACAGGAAAGATAAATTACTATTTAAATGTTACACTAGTATTCCTAATTGATTCTTTTGTGTCTGCCTTGGTAGTATGAATTCAAGGCCAAGAACATCAAGAAGAAGAAAGTCAGCATCGTGGTGTCTGTGGACGGAGTGAAGGTGTTGCTGAGGAAGAAACTGAAGGTAACGAACTCTCAGAGGAATACCAGAAAACCCTTTTCTACTGGATTCAGAAAGTAAACGCCGGAGTCGGTGACAAAAATACAAAAGTTTTTGGACACAAGATGCGTTATCGGTGCTTAATCACACTCATCTGTCTCATACACAGAGGAAAGAATGGACGTGGGACGAGAGCAAGATGCTGATCATGCAGGATCCCATATACAGGTCAGTCCACCACTCTCAGTCTCTCACTAATTCATATGTTCATGCTGTGTGGTAAACAAATATTAAATCTATTGTTGCCTGATATCCAGTCCAGTCTGTTCTATCCACTCTGCGTCTTCTTGTTAATCAATTACTGCGAGTATACTGCAGATAATACGCACTGTATGTCTCTCTGTGGAAGTTCTATCCTGCAGCTGGACCTATGGAGATGACTCTTTGGCTTTTACAGGCCCTCCCATCTCCTTTACTATGCAGGACTAATGTGATTGAATGTACGAATGCTATATGTGCCAAATGCACTTTCATAAGATAGCATAATAAATAATCTATAGCTTGTGCTTGTACCTGGTGAAGCATATGTTTTTCAGTATGTAATTGTCTTAGGTGAGGCATCCCACACAGATTATAATCACAGTAGACTGGTGAGACCCTCTGTACAGTTTGTTTCACACAATTTCTCAGCATGTGTGCCCAAAGAAAAATGCTTTAATTATGGCCACAGCATCCCATTACCCACCCTGCCTGTTGACATGCTGATGGAGCCTGTCAACCAATCATCAACGGGTCCGTGGAGCTGTCAATTACTGCTAAACAACTCGCAGCAATTACACCGTAAAGTGTCAAAATACGACTGCCTGTCTGAGAGAATAAGCTAAATTTAGAATGGATAGAGCAGGCGGAAATTAAAGGTAAGATTTTTGGTCAGGGGAACTGTAAAATATATTTTTGTTCTTTTTTTGGCTGGCTAAAAACAAGCAGTTATAGCTAATAAGGCAATCTCCTCATGGAGATGGAAACCTCAGTGATGGAAAGGAGTAGGCAGCCACTTATAAGTGTCTTAACATCACACATCTAACCAGCTTGTTTGTGTGTGTGTGTGTGTGTGTGTGTGTGTGTGTGTGTGTGTGTGTGTGTGTGTGTGTGTGTAAATTATATATCGGTGGGAGGATCTCATTCGGCAAAGCCACGCATCATCGAGGAACTGTGTGTGCTGGGTATAATTGTCCCTGCTGCTTGGGTTACTGTGGGTGTGTTTGTGCAGTGGGGGGTACATAGTACACGCCGTCCCACGCGACTTTCGTAGATGATGGTCATAATTTGTTTGACCGGTTCCCAGTGGAGTTGTTTTATAGCAGTAAAGCTGCAGATGGACCTGTTGCTCTGCCAGTTTACTGCAGTGTGTGCAGGGATTCTGGCAAGAACAGAGCCAGACGAGACGGCATACTTGTACAATATAAGACACAAAGACATTACAGTAGTATGGCATGTATTTATATAAAGAATTATACTGTAAATAGTCCCCTTTTATTCTATGTTTTAGGTCAGGTTTTTCTCCCTGATCTCAGTATTTTTTTTAAAGTTATTTGTTCATAGGAGGATTGTGACTGTGAAGAAGAAAATAAATGTCTATAAATATATTTTCCTTTTCTTTTTCTTTGAGGTTTCTGTAACTTCTATGTATTTAAATTTGGTGTCATGTTTTCCAGGATTTTCTACGTGTCTCATGACTCCCAGGACTTAAAGATCTTCAGCTATATCGCGAGAGATGGTTCCAATAATTCCTTCAGATGTAACGTCTTCAAGTCAAAGAAGACGGTACAAGAAAAGCCCACTCACACACGCCTCCTGACTGCAGACATGCACAGCTGATTACACACACACCTTTCTGGGGAACAGGCTTCATGCACAACCCCTCTGCTCTTGTGTTTCACCACTCCTGAGATTCCTTGTTTAAATAACTGAGAACAAAACTGACTGTCACACAGGGAGCATACCATCATAGAGGGAGAAGAGATACAAATGTTCATGTAACAGCAGCGTCAGTAGGCCTTGAAGCCATAATGCATGTTGCATTTTGAGTAAGGCTTCCTTCCTTTTCCTAGCTGTAAAAACCTGTGCACATATTCCTCTCACGACTCAATCTGCTGCTGTCTTGCTCCTTGATTTAAACCCCACAGCTGCATACAGCAAGTGTGCAGAACACTGTGGGACACACCGCATGCAGAGTTGCCTCAATTGTCTGTGTCTAGCTACCTGTGACTGAAGGTTATTTGTATTCTACGGTTTTTAATTTTATATGCGATTTAAGAATTCATTTCCTGATTATGTCAGCTCAGTTAATCAATTTTTATTTTATGTTTTTATTTCATTTCTGGTGGCTAAATTCATTTCCTGTCTCTTAAGATCCACAGCCTGCAGTGAATACAGAACAGATGCGGTTAGAATGCGGTTTTACAACTTTGCCTTTGTGCGTTGCTGCAGTGTTGGCTCACAGGCCAGCTATTATCAGTCCTCTGTAATGAGAATTGTTCCACAGAAGTGATGTCATTAGTATTTGATCGTTTGTATTCTACTGCATGCCAAGGATGACTGACAGCGTTCATGTTTTCACTCCGTCCGAAGGTTACAACCAAGGTTTTCACTGATTCACTTATCTTGTAGCAGACAGGAGGGGACTTGATCAGTGAAATGTTTGGTGCTTGTTGTTGAATACTTATTCTCAAAAAATCTGGCCTTTTTATCTCAAACTCTCTCTCTCTCTCTTTGTCCATCTGCCTCCCTCCCTCTCGCTGACAGTCGCAGGCCATGCGTATTGTGCGCACAGTAGGTCAGTCCTTTGATGTGTGCCACAAGCTCAGTCTGCAGCATGCTGAGCAGGACGCAGACGGACAGGCGGATGGAGAGAGTGACAAGTCCACAGAGGAGTCCAGCAGCGACGGTGAGGCCTATCTGAAGAGGGTTTTCTGTTATCTGCTGTGCACAGTGTGGCCTTTTGCAGAGTGCATTGAAATAAACATAGACAAACATGCATATTGGGTTACTTTCTTATTGTGGGTGATTTCAGTGACCTGTAAATGACAATATATTAAAATAAGGTATTTATAGTATAAAGCAATACACCGAGCCTTTCACCTCTTTGTAGGCCAAACAGAAGAAACACGGCACAAAACTAAGAGGCAATCTGTAAAACACTTATGCTTACGATGTGTTTGAGTCCACACCTCTGATAGCAAAGAGACATTTTTTTTTACAGAATGTGAAGCATGCCTTCTTCACTTTCTAGATATTTCATAAAGTGAGTGAGCAGCTTTATGGTTTCTAACAAAGAAATGACGCCAACCATTCCTCACAGAGATGCATGCTGGTATATTAAAACACACATTGGGAATGTGGTGTTTATGAGCCTTTATTGGTCATTTTGGTCTCATGAGGACCATCTCTCTCCAGGCTAAAGCTTGACCTTAGTTTCATTACACGCCTCTTTATAACCTAAATGGAGCCATCAAACCTCACAAGCTCATTAATTGAGCACAGCGATGAAACGGCAACAACACAGATGTCGGGTTACACTGGGATGTAAACGGATTTAAGAAACAACATCAAGCTAATCTGGATTTGAGTGTTATCTGAAGCCTCATGCTTCGTTCGTTTCATGTGAGATGGAGTGTACCGATGGGCAAGATTCCCGTGATTACAACTTTAACACAACGTTGATTGCCGGTGTTTCCAGTAATTACTGTAATTTGCACTGTGAATGAATAGTTGTCTGGCACTGAGCGACAGTTGTGTGACAGGCAGAGTTGATCATGTGGGGTTAAACCACTGTGTATGTGCTCAAAGTACCATTCATTTAGGGTTTAGTTATCTCAATGAAGGCATCCCTTTTTGTATGCTTTTAATAGACTCGTGCATTGTTTTACGTAAGCCCTAGAGGCGATGGCGACGTTTTTGCTAATTGTCCATGTGTTTTCCTTCACAGGTCGTAAGCTGACGGGGGCAGAGCGAGGGGAGGAAGAGGAGGACAGCAAACTTGGAGGAAGACGAGGGGGGGAAGATCCTTCAGCGGGCACATCCCTGTGTGAAAAGGCAGTCAATGAAATCCTGCAGAGTCTGGCTGAACTGAACGTGGTCAAACCTGGACAGACCATCATAGTAAGACCGCAGCGCACACACACACACACACTGAATTTCTGAGGGCAAGAAGGTTATAATAAGTACACTCTGTGCTTGATACAATATAATTGTTTACAGTCCTGCCCAGCAGTATGAAGGCATTTCAAAGGTGAAGAATGGGATTTAGATTTAATGTTTTAAAGCTGAACAAAAAAACTAAATTTTTTAAAGAGGATAATACAATTTTTTTAAATTAGCATCCAAGGGTTAAGCCTCTGAATTTGAATTTCCTATGGTACAAAAATGTATGAGGTGGAGCCATTGTTCTGGTAAGTTTGTATCCCACTCAGAAAATAAAAGCTAGCAAGCTGTATTCCATTCAGACTGCAGAAGCTAGTTAGCCTAGCTTGCTAACACCACTGATTCCCACAAGAATGGACACTTTTCGACACCGTTATTTCGACACCTGCTGAGTCAACTTAAATGGCTAACTTCAGACTAGCGTCATCGTCAGCTGATATTATTAAATGGAAGTACGGTTTGGTTGATTTGTCGCTTGGGACATTTTTGAAAAAGAGGTTGCTAAGTGGGTCGTTAAAGTTGTTAAATCCAGTGACAAAATTGCCAAGTTGGCAGCACTAACAGTTGGAATTGATGCGATATTATTTCACTTCACCTTTAAGTGTTCCACAGTTTATTAATATGTGTTTCCTTACTCAAGCTGTATTTCTTGCCATAGTCATTGGACAGCTAAACCTCACAACAGTGAAATTCAAGGGCAGACTCGTGACATCGTGAACACCACATTCTCATGACGGTTTCCATCACAGATTTTTATTACTGACACCTGCAGCAGAATCCACATTTGAATGATTACAGGTTGTTGTTTTTTCGCTCCAGACAGCTTCTGGCTTTGTAGCTACAGGAAAAAATCCCTCTGCTGTGATTCATTGCTTTGGCCTTAGTGCTGTGTTTGATGCTATTCTCCAGGCGGAGTGCTGCCAAATGGCTCATTGAACTTAGGAAGTACAGTACAGTGCTTTGTCATCTACTGCAGCTCTCCATGACTAACACACAGGTGGCAGCAGATACTGTAGGCATGAAACAACCCGGTCACGCTTGCGTGAGGTAAAAAGACGCCAGTTTAGTTTGTCTGTGTTTGAGATTCCGCAGGCTTTAAATCCTTATGAAGTTAGGAGCTGACTATCATCTTTCTTTGACTGTCACAGGATGAAAAGAAGCAAACATGCGGGCTTTGGTGTGTCATGATGCTTTACGTTGGATATGTTACCAGAGTGAGTGTAACTGAAAGAGAGCGAGAGTTGGATTGAAGAGAGGGGACCTGAATATTCCTGCTGGCTGTGAAAGGGGGACACTTAATCCCCCTAAAAAAAAACCTAGTCTGTTCCATTTGATTTCTAAGAAACGCCACCATAATCCCGTTGAGGGGTTCACGAACATCTGCTCTATGGAGATAAGCAAGGAGAGAGGGATGGAAGGAGGAATAATGAGCGATCAGGATAACAGAAAAAAGGGCAAACAACATTGAATTAAAAAAAAATAAAAATTCAAGGGCTGCTACGAATGGTTGTTAAATAAAGGCCCCGAAAACATAATTTTACAGGGGCTTGAATTTGCTCATGAGTGTAATTGTTTTGTTTATTATTTTGTGATAATTTAACAAACTCTGATGATTTGCTCCATCCTAACTTTGTGTGTGCGGTCTATTCAGATTAGATTGACAGTAAACCCATGGTGTGATGATATGGTGGTGATTTTACGAGGGTGTTACTTTGTCTTTAGCCTACGTCTTGCGGTCCCAAATTAAAACGTACTTTTCTTTTGACATGCATTTCAAATGTCTTACTTATTTAGGGAAGCTAATGATATACTGAGGTAGATGGCTCTCTCATATAAGAAACACTTCGGTGCTGTTCTTTCCCGTGTGCTACTTCGCCCTCTAGTGGTGTGATATAGGAGTTACAATATACTGTGTGCCAAAGAAAGTTAATTTGCATTACAGCAGTAGCAATGTATGCAGTTATACAGATTTATTTTGTATGTGTTCATGACTTGGACACACTAACACACCAAGTCCATATTTGTGGTCAGTGCTGATATCTCCGGGGACAGAAGCACAGGGTCAATTGTCAAGTGACAGTGAAGTGAAAAGCTGCTTCGGTAATTTCTCCGGGAAACATTTGCGCTTCCAGAGATCATCTTGGAAAATGATCTTAAAATCCAGGGAGGAGGGAGATTGAGAGAGATGAATGTGAGTGTGTGTGGTATGATAATGAGCTCAGAGTATTCCAGTCCTGATGAGGGGTTACAGTCGGGCTCCAGGGGGCTCCAGATCAGCGGGTCGCAGTCCTGGTCTCAGGGACTCTGGAGCACTGGGTGAATCCTATTCTACTGGTTTAATTGCATTAATCTGGGGTCAAAGGTCTAAAAATAGCTCCTATTATCTAACGAGGAGTAAAAACTGGCAGCACTATGGGTCCAACATTGAAGTCTGTTGTGTCATTGATGGTTGTTGTGGAGAATACAGTATGTGTCAGAACACCATATATATGTATGTTTTTACATGTATTTTCCTTCCATCAATATGATGTGTGTGTCTCTGGTCAGGACTTTGATCAAAGGTCCGTCTTCACCGTGACATCCCAGGGCGTTACTCCCAGCAGCCCTTGCTCTCGCTCTCTCACTCCGCTGGCATCGCAGCACTACCTGCAGCTTCTTCAGCAGCAGCTACAGCAGCAACAGCAGCACACGCAGGTGGCCGTCGCACAGGTAGGAAACACGCTTCCATGCACAGTGTGCTGGTTGTGTAAAACACAGCGGCAGGCTTGAGTAAAAACACCTCATGACCAAACTGTAAAAATATGTTACTACTACTGTATTACACCTATTTTCATTATCAATTAATTCAACGCTTAGTGTTCTCGATCGATCGTGAAAAAATGCCCGTCGCAACTTCCTAGAGCCCAAGTTGATGTCTTCAAACGTCTTGTTTTATTCAACCAAAAAGTCGTAATTAGTGACATTAACATTTCCTCATAGTCTATGCTCTTTGTAAAATCATCCAGTGACAGACTTATTTCAAATCTCACCTGTTTTCAGTAAAAGCCGGTTTACACTGACCGGGCTAATACACATTCTGCTTCACACTATCACACATCCAGAACACAGTTAAGCAGAACAGAAACAAATGGAGGTGCTCTTCATCTCGAGTTCATCAGTCTGTCAATCACACTAAAGCCCCAATAACCTGCGTGAGCCTCGTCACCATGTTGTCTCTGTGTACCGCCGTCTGCCGATGCTCTCCCACTAGGGGGCAGCACCAACTTAGCAATGGAAGGGCAGTCAGTGCAGCGTGATAAAACACAAGCGGTGCCACATTTGCAACCGTGCATCTCGATTGATTCTTCAAGCCTCCTATTTATGGCGTCATCTGAGGAACTGCAGCACAAATGCATATTTACTTTAGTGTTTCATGTCTGATCTGGCTGATTTCACTGCCATAGCAATATCGACACGCAAGTTAATGATCCACCGAAATAGCCACCCCGTTCTTGCTTCCAGATACAGTCTTGGGATTGTAGATATGGGCAGGATTATTAATCCAATTCCATCCCCATAATATCATAGAGCAACATTACGAAATTGAGGCATGAGACAGCAAAAACAAACATTTTAATGGATAATGCATCTATTTCTTTATTTTTTATGAATCAAATCTCACACAAACGAACACGCCTTGCCTTCCACCACAGGTGCAGTTGTTGAAGGATCAGATGGCAGCAGAGACCACTGCCCGTATGGAGGCTCAGGCCCGCGTCCACCAGCTGCTGCTGCAGAACCGAGACTTGCTGCAGCACCTGGCCCTGCTCGTGCAGCAGCTAAAAGAGCTGGAGGCCCGCTCCCCAAAAACACAACCAGGGCAGCCACAACGGGAGCTGCAAGCTAATGGACACAGTAAGTGACTGGTGGGAACAGTGTAGTCCCTCAGATGAACTCGTGTCAGGTCAGGTTCCCGCTGGTGCTGCGGTCCTTGTCATTGCTCACTTCTCTGTCGGACAGGTGCTGGATGTAGTCATGCATGACCCCTCACTGGCTTCCTGCCTGCAAACATCCTTACACGTGGTTGTCTTTGAGTTTAGTAAACGTATATTATACTGTTGGACTAAGAGTCTACAGGCATGCTAACCGCCTCTGTGAGGCTGTACTCAGTCATAGTGCTGAACTGAGTACTAACGCGTCACAGTGCGGCCGTGGCTCTGTGGGTAGAGCGGGCGCCCTCAAACCACGTGGTTGGCGGGTTGGTCCCGGGATTCTCCCATCTGAATCGTGGTGTCATTGAGCAACACACTAAAACCCAAATTGCTCCTCGGGCGCGTTTATAGCTGCACACTGCTCCTAAATGCTTCGGATGGGTTAAATGCAAAGATCATATTTCATCTGCTTGAAGGCTGAAAATAAGTTGTTTTTTTTTTAAGTTTAGTGTGTTAGCATTTTCTAATTAGCAACAAATGCAAACTACTGCTGAGGCTGAAGGGAGTGTCATTAGTTTTGCAGGTATTTTAGAAGAAAGTATTGAGCAAAGACACGAGAGGAACAGGATCACCAAAGTCATTATGATCCATGCTCTCAGCATCTTATATGTTTCTTTTAGATATTTCAGTCTGGACTAAAGTGATGGGCCATCTAATGAGTGGTGTTGTTGTACTAGATTGCATAATATAAGAAGGGTTTTTAATATTCTTATTATAAACTACATCCTCAATAATAATCATATAGGTAAATGAATGCCTCTCTCTGTGTTATTTAAAACTATTATCTCTGTAAAGGTAGAATGTATGACTGAGCTGCGTACAAAGTTATATTGGAGCTGCAGTGTAGTCCATTACAGAAAAATGTGTCAGAATGGGATTATTGATCTCACTTTGAAATGATAATTAAAATCGAGGGCCGTGCATCAACACCACACTCGCTCTGTGTAACACAACGTGTGTAAACAGCATATTCTTACACACAATAACATCTCTATGCTCAACAAAAAGCAGATTATGTAATCACAATGGATTCAAAAACACATTCTGTCCGCATTATCTCACACTCACAGACTGTGTCCTCAGTAGGAGTTTTGTTATTTTTGTTATGTTAAACAACCTTTATTTTGGTACACACACACATAAACACACTTTCATACACACACTTTGTCCCAAAGGAGGATTTTTGGAGGAGGGATGTATTTACAGGAGCTAAAAGAGCGGTCAGTCTTGCCAAAATAATAATGAATAACCACAGGCGCACACACAGTGGGCAGAGCTGAATGTGTGTTTGTTTATGTATGATTCATCTTTCTACGCGTTTTTACTTGTGTGTTTTTGTGTGTACATTTTAAAAACGACACTTCATGTTTCATGCTTGTATTAATCATGTTAGTCCCTCTGATAGAAAATGCTAATCTCAGAGATGGCTGTGCTAAGTGCTCCCACTGGCACAGTGCCAACGCATCTGTTCTCTTAATAAGAGTCAGCACTTTAAGAGAGATCTTTAGAAAAAGTACGAAGAAGCCAACATGTTGGCTGCAGTTGAATCTTTACTTGTTTTGTTAACGGTGGCATTGTGTTGATTTGTCTTCTGTCTATTCCAGGTGGTCAACAGTCACCATGCAGCTCAGTGTCTTCAGCAGCAAAGGCTCTGTCTCTGAATCTGAAGAATCACTACAGCCAGACCCTGGACCAGCTCATAACCTCCACACCTGCATGGCCGCTCCAAACCTCACCCCTCTCCTCACCCCTCTCCTCCCAAGTGGACTGCGCCGAGTCCTACCTGAACCTGCTCAACCTGGAGAACGGGACCGAACCAGCTGCACCCATCAACGGGGATCTGGACCCCTTTATCAGGGCCAATGGGACAGCGGACACCAAGGGGAGCTTGTGCAATGAGATCGTCCCGTTCACGTTGAGGAACTCGGCCAACATGGATGAAAAGTAAGATGAATGTCCTTGTGTTTATTAGAAAATAATGCTTGTTATTTCTGTACCAACGCACAGAAATAACAGTGATTCTACTGGCTGCGTTACCTTTTGCTCTTCTCCTGACTGGCTTCGGGAGGAGTTTGATGGTTGATGACGGATGCTTTATTCAATCACCTGCCAGGATGTTTTTGAAAGGGACAGCCCTTTTCTAATGATGGCTTCTCAGATGGTTCTGTGTAACAAACCACCCGGAGGGTCAAGTTAGTGGCAGCTTGTAGTGCAAGCGAATCATTATGCAATGAAGCCATTGTACATTAAGGGAATAGTTCAACATTTTGGGAACATCTGTGGGAACCAAGTCTGTGGGACCCACGCCGGTGGGACCCACGTCGGTGGGACCCACGTCGGTGGGACCCACGTCTGTGTGGGACCCACGTCTGTCCCACACAGACGTGGGTTCCCATCGACCAACGTCGATGGGAACCACGTGGATGGGAACCAAGTCTATGAGGCCCATTCTAGATGGATCTATGAACATTTATTCTATTTCCCTCAAATTCCAATGTTTGTGCTAAGCTAAGTGCCAGCCGGCTATAGCTTTACATTTAACGGACTAACACAAAGGTGGTATCGATCTTCTCATCTAACTCTCTGCCAGAAAGCAAATATTTCCGAAATTGTCGGAACTATTCCTTTAATGTGCGTCCACATTCCTAATGTGGTGCCAGTCAGTTTGTGTTTGAGGTAGCCAGGCTACACAGTGACATACAAAGCAGGTAGCTTTTAGTGTTATTAGTGGAGAACTGCTCAACTCAGCAGAAACGGCCTGCAGCTAATGAAAGTGTTCTGTAATTCGGGGGATTACAGAACACAGGGAGAAAAGGGTTGGGGTTGTACAAACAAAGAGGGGATCAGGTTTGTGGCTGAAAGAAGGAATCAGAGAAGCTTGAGAGAGAGAATGAGATTCAAGAGAAACAAGGAAACTCCATCAGCTTTAACTCCGTCCCAGTGTTTTTATTTCGTGAAATAACTCATTTTGAAAAGCCATTCAGACATGCGTTGAGAGATTAAAGACAGTAAATGGATTTTTTTGGCGGGGGGGGAATAATTTGTGAGGAGTGTGTTTTGCTTTTCAGGGATCTTTGAGGCTCTTCTCGCTGTTTCCCCTCCTGTACTTTTTGACTTAATGTCTGAATGCGCTGGCATGCAGCTCACTGATACACAAGCAGACGTTAGCTTTGATGCATACGTGGAGCCACAGCATCTAATTACTTTTTGATGAGCTTTTAATCTCCTTAAAGCCATAACAAAAGAGCAGTTATAGTTAAAAAAAAGAAAACATTTCCTACATTAGATCAAGCAGCGCTCCCAAGCAGGACAAACTCCTCAGTCCTTTTCCTTTTATCCCCCTCCTTCTCTTTCTCATCTTCACACTTAATTTGTCTCTCCACTCTTGCTTTTCGCTGTCTCTCTTCCTGAAAGCAATCCACAGCGAAGTCTCCAAGGAGAGCATGTTCAAGTTGATTTCAAAACAGACGAGGAGAAAATTAAGTCGTTGGAAATGGCGGTGTAGTGTTTATTTGGCGTGCTTGGGGATGTTGTAATTTTGTGCATCTGCTTTGTTTTGTGTGTGTGTGTGTGTGTGTGTGTGTGTGTGTGCGTGTGTGTGTTTGTCTGAGGCTGCAGCTTAGCTACCTACAGCCAGACTCACATCCTGTGGTTTTCCTGCACCACAGACTCTCAGCCAATCCCATCTCCCATCCCGTCACAACCTGAAACTCTACCCAAAGTCCAAATGTCACAATATTTATTTTCCTTTTTCACGAGCGTGGGGGGGGGGGGGAGTAAATACAAAGAGAGGCATCTTGTTACCGTACATTTCCATCGGAGCATGAGTTCACCTGGGAGTGTGTTGTGTGCCAGGCTGAACCCCCTTTTCCATTTATTTGTAATTACGTAACAACTGACTTCAGTTGTTGTCTGCCACTCTTCCTTCTGAGCAACACTTCTTCTGTGTTCGGTGGCAAAGGCTTTAAAGAGAGATTCAGTAGCTCAGAAATACACCACCGGGGCTTTTTATCTTCTAAAGTGGCTCTCCCCTCTCAGCCATCCTCCCTCTCTTTTATAGGCTATTGTTTGCCTCCTCTCCCGAGTGACGTCATCTTTCTCTAAATGGTAATCATCAAGCTTTACACTAGGTTTAATCACAAATGGTGTATAAAAAGAATAAAAAGCCAGGTTATTACTGCAGAAAAAGACTCTTTATTTGCCTGCTGAACAGAAAAATTGGCAGCTTAGTTTATGATGTGACCTTTCAATGTTTTTAAATGGTATGTTTCTCTGCTTATGCGACTCAACTATATCTTTTAATCTCACTAAATCACGAGAACAAGATAGAATGAGGGTTGAAGAAATGGAAACTTTAGCTCCATTGTGTTAGTTTGCTTTCCCCCACTAAACTCCTTTGCATTACCTTTGGCACAGTCTGGTGTACCCGCCCTCCCCCTCCGCACGGCACATTTTATTGCTTCCATTTGCTCTTGTTTTCCAGATTTCCCAGCGAATCAATGTTTACAGCCTGAGTGGCCCTATTTTATGTACTACCAACTAGCAGACAGACACTCTTCTGACCATCTCTGCTCCTCCTCTTCCTCCCTTTCTTCGCCCTGACTAAGATGACCTCCCCCTTGGGTCCAGGGCTGGTCATGCAGGGTTATTTCCCTTCACATTATCGGTGCCATTCAGCTTTAAATCACACAGGCATTATCGACCAACACAGACATTATCCATGTGCTCTCCAGCTGGCCCACTGACTCGAGCGCTATATGATCACTGCATATGGTGTGTTGGCAGCACAATACCTAACCATGTAGTGAGTCATGCTTTACACAACAAACAGAACATTGGAAGTAGGATCAAAACAGGATGTAATCGTAGATTTAAAATACACATTGTGGGCAAAACATTGCACCATATTATTTGCAACTTTGAGTCATCAACCTCTTTGTCCTTTTATTTATGACACACACAAAAACAAGAGTCGGCAGCCATGCTAGTTTTGTGGATATCCTGACCTGATGATGGCGCTGGAGGAAAAGTTAAGGGATGACCGAAAATATTACAATTCATCCTCAGGGGGACATGAATGTCTGTACCAAGTTTCATGGCAAAACCACAAAGAGGATCAACAAAGTCAGTTGGGGAAATTGTCTGGGAAACATAAATATATCCGTATAAAATGTCTTTGCAATCTATACAGTAGTTGGACCAACCCATCAACCAACATTGTCATCCCCAGAGCCATGCTGCTGAAAGCAGCAGCATGGCCACACAGAGTGAAAACAAACGCATATGGTGACCAGCTTATATGAACACCCAACTATGTATTATACACAAGTGAGTCATGCGTTTCCCCTGGCATGCTGCACTCTCTTTCTCTGACAGTATTGTATGTTGCATAATCACATTTCCTGACCTATCCGGGTATCTTCTTCCTCCCCCTAGATCCTTTTTTATTTCCCCTCTTCATCGTTAACATCATCTCCTGCGTGTCAGAGCTTCAGCGGCAGCCTCGTCGGCCAGTAATTTAATTGCAGTGATGGAATTGTAACGGATGATATTTCCAGGCGTTTGGGTGGAGCTGGATTCACACACATTGTTGTTCAGAGTCATGCGATACTGACGTTACATTTTAAGAGTCATCTGTGTTCTCAGGTTTATGTCGGCCTGTCAGACACTGAATAATGTTTGACAGAGACTCTGTTGCTCCTGCGGACGCTCACATTCATCCCCCTATATGCTTAAACATCCCACACAGACATGTCTCTCACATGGGTGCTGTGTGTTAACGTCCTTACAAAAGCAAGATGCAAAGGCCCAGTGCCCCTACACTGACTTTAAACCGCCTACTTGTTCTTACAGTTGGCGTGTGTGTGTGTGTGTGTGTGTGTGCGTGCGTGTGTGTGTGCGTGCGTGCGTGCGCGCGCCCATCTGTCTGTCTCAAAGGCTGAAGGGGGAATGATTTATACTGGTAACCTTCTGTCCAGAGACATAGGAAGATATTGATTCCTTTTATTTGTCTCCACCTGTTGATCTGCAGAGCTTATTTTTTCGTTTTTTTAAATATGAAATTGTTGTGTTATTCTTTTGTGCTATCTTCCTGATTGCCTGCTTAATTCCTGTTTATTGAATGGTGAATTAAATCTGCATGCTGTGCTTATGAGTCATGTGTTTTGCAGACACACATGGTCTCTATATGGATTTTTATGTAACACTTTAAGACGTCTTGGCAGTGAATGGCCTGAGACACATCCCTATCCCTAAAATATATAGCTTCAAGGTCCATACCAGTGGCTATGTATGTTTTCCCAATGAATAGACATGTTGAGATTGATCTCTTACCTTACTGCCATGGGGTTGCATTCATTATAGTGTAAAAATACAGTAACTTGCAAAGTTAGACAACCCAACACAGTGAACATTGTTGCAGTATGATTCATTACCATGTGGTGATATTGTAGTAGAAAGTAGGGATGCTTTTCATCCAGCTCAGTGTTCCTGGGGTGGATTGGTGAGAGGAGCAGACGGTGTACAGCTGTTCTGGGCACCGCTGGTATTTTTCTCAATTGATGGTGGATCACAGTCGGAGCACTTTCATGGCTGCTTTGGGCGTGAAACTCTCTCAGCTGAGTCTTCAGTACAAAAGACTATTGCGCTGAAATATATCTCCGTTGATGAAAAAGTACAGGCCTGTACATAAAACTGTAAGCTGAGAAGTTATGACTCCCAAAATCCCTTTTAATTTAACAATCATCCACATAACAGTTCTGTTTTTGGCTGACTGTAGCTTGAGACAATAAAATGATAAAACAATTTGCAGCTTAAATTGATTCTGGCTCAATTCTGAATGAAATGTTGTCACAATGGCATTGTGTTTTATTCACAGCATAGTAGTGGAAGCATTTTGAATTCTCCACAGCTCTGATTTAAGCCTCCAACTGGCTTTTTCTCCATTGCAAATACAGCAGAGGCTCATGGGTACTGTAGTATTAAAGTATCCAGTTGTTAATATCCTCCGCATCGTGGCTTTAATGTGCTAAAAGATACTAAATCGCTGGTGTGGGCTTTTAAATTCACTAGTCCCTTACATGGCTCCCTGATCCTCTGTAGTCTAACTGTTGCCTCTCTTTGGTACAGGTGCGAGGACCCTCTCCTGCTCTTCCTCTTCCTCATCTAACCATCCCTCATTCCCCCGTCAGTCTGCCCAAACCAACAAACTGAACCCCTGAATAACACCCAACAAGCAGGTCCGCTTCCTTTAACCCACCACTCATACGCTCCATCGTCTCGTCCCCGCCCCTCTCATCGTTTGCTGCACCAGCCTGCCTCTCCCTAGGAGCCTGCAGGAGCTCCCTGCCACTGCCTAAGCCCCCTTCCTCTCCTCTTTCTTCTCCTCTCTGCCCTTTCTCCTCCCTCTATGTGAGTATTACTCATGACCACCAGCATGTGGAACCAGTGTCTGTGGCACAAGCATGGTAATTGAGCATGTGGTGGGTGAACTGTGTGGGTGTTTTGCTGGCTCATGTTTAGGTCTCACCAGTGAGTTCTCTGCTAATGTCTGCATAATAACCTCCATTTACATGTGGTTCTGCAAGTTCATAACCACATTTGCATTGAGGTAATCAGTGAGCCACGCATTCCATACGCACGGTAGCACTGTCTGTGTTTTATACACTGTGTTGGACTGCGAGGGCTTTTTTTTGTCCTCGCATACTTACGCCAAAATAGAAGAAATGCTCTTGTCAAGATTTGGTATTAACTTGTCAGTGGAGGTTCCACCTGAACAGTAAAGCTGTCAGAGGAGAGGAAGAGGACGAGTACCTCTGTGGTAAAGGGAGGTTTGTTATACTGAAGTATGTGTGTTTTGTGTCATGTGCATGTTTTGCTTTATAGAGTCTGACCAAAACGGATAACAAACAATAAGCATCATGGGAAAAAGATAATGTGTTGGGCAAGTTACTCAGGAAGTGTAATGAGTTACTTTTTATTTATTACTCCTTTAAAAATGAACAATGTGAATTCACTTAATACTTGATATCAAAAGTAATTAGTTACTTTACTTGTTCTATAACTACATTACTTTGGCTATTCATTATTTAAATTCCAACTGAGGGTCCTAACTATTTAATGCATGATAGATTGTGCACATTGGATTAATAACTGTGATATAATTGCTGTTTTGGACATTGTAATACCTTACACTGCTCGGTAACACTACAGTAATGTGTTACTGCCCAACATTGTACAAAACAATCTTATTCTCTGATGTCGGCGCTTCCCCACAATTACAGTACATGCACCAATTTAGAAGACGTGAAATAATCTGTCTTCAGCTGCATTTTGGCAAAAAGATTCTCACTGGGAAAAAGAAACCCAATGAGTTCTCACTGTGATGGATAACCTACTGTATCACAAGTCTCCGCGGGTTCATTTTTATTCCACCATGAAATGAACAGAAACCAGTGGCTGCCTAAATAGCACAGCAGAAAAAAGCATTGAGCTATTCCGCTTTAGCAGTAATATAAAGTGTACATGAGCTGTCGTAAATGGTCGGACTTGAACAAGCTCCTAATAATCTCTTTTACCGTGACAACATCACAGTATAATGAGCACTGGAGGGTTTGAGCAGTGTGGGCCAAATCACAGGTCCTAAGCTTGTCTTTCAGTCTGTGCACCAACACCTACAGTAAGGCAGCAATGTTGTGCTGAGCAGTTTAGTATGAAAAATAACCCTTTGCTAGTCACCGCAAGTAATCCAATTTGTCTAATGTTCATCATACGCAAAGATACTTTGCATTTGATTCTGAAAATCACGAATAGTGACATCCAAAATGACACAAATATGGTTTGAATTATTAAAATGAATGGAATCGACCTTTACGTCAGTTCTTCTTTCCTTGTTTGTCACGTATGAGATAGAATTTCCAAAGTAAATGGATTAGAAATGCAGAGATGCATGGCAGTGAGGCTGAATGAGACTGGAGCGAGATGAATGGAGAGACAAAGAGGGAGTAATAAAGGGAGAAAGAGAAGACACAGTGGAGGGAGAGGGGGCAGGGAGGTGGAGAGAGGCGTCGATGTGACAGTAGAGAGGAGTGCTGAGTCAAAGTTATGATAATGAGACCAGCCTGCTCCTGGAAATGGCTGCAAATTCATCTCCACAACTTGGCAGCAGACAAAAAATAATCAAACTTCAAACTGGACTGTTTATCTTCATAAGTCCCAAAGGAACGATTACCCCTGGCAAGGAAACAATGCAAATATCCAAGGGTTTCATTTTGTTGTGTGATCTACTCTATCGGTCACTGTCACATCCCTAATGTCATTTCTTCAAATAGAACAATGAGCAAAACTTCATGGCAGTTTATCCAATTATTGTTTCGCTCAAAATCTCCTTGTGAAAACCACATGGTGACGCTAGAGGAAAAGTCAGGAAAGGCATAAGGATTCATCCTCTGGGGACCATCAGTGTCTGTGCCAAATTCTGTTCAAATCCATTGAGTGGATGTTAAGATATTTCAGAGAATAAAGAAAGACTTAAACCTGCTAGTGACACTAGAAGAAAAATGAGGGAAATCATCAAAAGTATTGGGATTCCTCCTCTGGGCACCGTTGATACCAGATTTCATGTCAATCCCTCCAATAGTTTTTCAAAATGTTTTCTAAATCTCAAAAACATCGGCCTCGTGGTGTCACTCGCGGGAAAGTCAGGTGATCATGAAAGTCAGCAGGCTTTATCCATGAATGTCTGTATAAAATTCACAGCAATCTAATCAATAGCTGTTGAGATAATCTTGTGACATTGGAGTCAGTGGAGTTCAACTTAACTTTTACCCCACAGTGCTGTATGTAAGTGCGTCTCCATTTGTCGGAAGAGGGAAACAGTGGCACCGTAATGATCTCTGGTGATGGGTTCCCTGCACCATTACAAGTCTGTCATTAGCGTAGCTATCAACACCAATCTCCTACAGAACCAGAGACGGTAAATACATCAGCAAGTCACATAAGTTCATTACTGAGACCAGGATCCAACCGTGGACCGGATTTCACAGCAGCCACCAGTATAATGTGGATAGGTGGAGGAGGCGGGGCTCGTTAGGACTCATTGTCCAAGAGAATGACATTGATTGTGTGTGGCTGAGCGCACTGGTGCTAGTTGTGGCATTTCTGTTTTCACAGCGAGAGAGACTGCAGTGTAGCTATTTCTGGTGTGTGTTTGAGGAGGGGGACGCCTGCAGCTCCTTTCTCGCTTCGTTGACCCCCCCCCCCCCTCTCACTATTCTTTTTTTCTTTAGCTGCCTTTCTTCCCCCGTTCCTCTCTCTTCTCAACAGGGCAGCTGTGGGATGTAGATAATTCCCCAGACAGCCGAAACGGCAGGGAGCCAGTGAAAAAGAGGGAGTTTCTATCTTGTCTAGTAACAGCGTATGTCACCGTACGTTTCAGGTTAATGGGGTATAACATGACTGATGGAGAGGAAAACGGGCTTGAGGCTGATTGTCGTGCACCTGCTTGGTAGAGAGGAGGGCTGAATCTGAATTTGCACGATTAGGACAATAAAAATGTCTAAATGGATCTACTCACAACATGATAACCAATGAAGGCGTTGTGTCAGACTAACCGCTTTCTCTATTCTCTCCCTGGCAGGTTTATGATCCCTAAACTTGACCCTCCACCCTCCATGAGCCGCAAGCGGGCCAGCAGGACCTTTTGTCCGGGAACAGAAGTCACAGCGGCGCCAAAGCCCGGAGAGGTCACCGCTAACGGCGGGACCCCCAGCAGCAGCAGTAGCCTCTCGTTCCCGGACGTCACCCCGAGCTCCTTGTCGTCTGCTGATTTCCACTCCCTCAGCAACGGCGAGAGCAGCTCCTGTTCGGTCAGCGAGGATTCGGGCGTCCGCTCCGAGACCAAGTCCCTGCTGTCGCCGCTGCACGACGACGACCTGTTCGGAGACCGCGAGACGTTTATGACGGCCTCCAGCGGCTGTGACAGCCCCCCGGAGGAGAGAAACGAAGCTGTTCTCTCTTCCTCTGAGTCGTACTCCGCTGAGCCCCCCACCCTCGCCTCACATCCGGACACCTATGAGCGGCCGATGCCCTTCTCTGCTCCTCTGAATGATACCTGCCTTCATATCAGTTTCTCTGAGGATGAGCTGCTGGAGAGCAATCAGGAAGACCCTAATGTCCCCCAGCGGAGTTAGGAGGAGGAGCTGATGGGCCCCTGGAGACCTTTCACTCTGTCCTTCAATCAGCTTTTAATGCAATACCTACTGTCTGACCCTCCTGTGTTTGCACTGGGCTCCATTTCAGGACCTTTAATTCTTCCATCCACTTGTGACACAGTACAGACATAGCATATACCGGTTACTGCAAAACTATCTATTGTATAAATGATCAGCCAATAGACAGATTTAGTATTTTTGTAATTAAATTAATGATCTAATTTACTTTATAGCGACTAGAATGTTAAGCAGAATACATGTAGCAATTCTTGCACTGTTATGGTCACGCATTAAGTCACTGTAGAATTTAAAAAGAATGAGGGAACACATTTTATTTTTGCTAGTAGTCGACCGTAAAACATTTCCTTTGTGTGGTGCAAGCTATTGTCGAAACTGTCGTATTCTGCAGATTTCACAGAGTGATCGTGATGATCACGCACATGTCGGTGATGTTGGGAAGAGCCTCGCCTTCTGTAAAGCACCTGACCGGATGATGGGAGGGGAAGCAAAGAACAAGGAAGTCAGATAAAGGGAGGATAGAAGTGAGCAGATGTAGTTGTGTTTTGGTTTGTGCACATCCATTCGTGACTGTTGAGTGCGTTTTAGAATGTTTTTGTGCTCCTTGTATTTGGGGCTTTCCAGACCTGCCGGCTTTGAAGCAGCACTGGAGAGATTAGTGGAATATCCGTCTGGATTTTGAATGCTGTATTGCACCGATTCTGTATGTAGCATGGTTGTCTCTTCCAAAAAACATTAAATGTAAGATATTTTAGTGTAGGAAGAAAGCAAACCCTCAAAAAAAATCGAGCCAACAGCCTTGAACGCTTTGGATTGCAACTCTCTGAGTAGGTAGTGTGTTATTAAATGGGCCCTCACTCACAATGGGGAGATAATTTGGGAATCACAGAGGCCCAAAGACAAAAAATGTACAAAATATGTACTGGTTCAAGCTTCTCAAATGTGAATATTTGGTGAAAATTTGCTTGTTTTTCAGATATTCACTGAACGTGTTGTAGATAAATAATCAGAGAAAGTTATCAGCAGATAATGAAAGTAATAATAATGTTGTTGTTTTTTTTACATGCAAGTGGCAGCATTGTACTGCGTTGGAGTATACAAGTGTTTTATTCAATTAAGCAGGTCTAAGTGATAATAAATGGACACGAGGAAAAGCAGCTGAGGTGTGATGGAGGTTGGTGGTGTAACGGTGCAGGTGTAAACGGCCCGAAGGCTTTTAACTCCCCGAAACGAGGCTTTTCTCAACATCACATGTGGCAGGAATCTATAACAGCAATAACACGTGGAAGAAAATAATAAAGAGGAATAGTTGAAGAACTTAAGCACTTACTTGATTTTTTTTCTCATGCGTCTTTATCCAGTTTGTTTGTGTTCTATGCAGAAAACTACACCCGTATGTATGTGATCTTGTACACAGGATAAAGACAAAACTGCCTCTGTATGTTTCTATGTAGGTATGCAAAGCAACCTCTTCTCACTCCGCTGTTTGAATTACCAGTATTAGCATGTTTTTTGCTGGATTCTCTTCACATGTAGGATTCAGACAGGTGCAGCCGAGGAGATGCTAACAAGCAGCGCACAGCTGGATTCAAACCCGTTGAGTAACGATGCGACCACAGGCCATTAAAAACAGAAGCGCTGTTCGCTTCATCTCTTTGGTCTGAATGGCAACAAGCACTCCTCATCTGCCCTTTTACTCTGCCTTCATTACATCTCCTTACATTCACATTTGGCATTAAGAATTCATGCCTCTCAAACTCTTTCCCACACGCGTAGCATTTTCACGGCTTGTCGAGACTTTCTGTCACTTTCTCTGAGCTGTTCTGCACCCGAGGTGCCTTTTCTAAGGCGTGCTGTTTCCTCTCTGTTGTCCCCGGGCACACAGAGCTCAGCTCTGCTCAGTGTAACACGGTCGCTGCGAGAAGGGAACAGATGACTGACGGGCCTAATGGGTTCAGGGCGTCAGTGGGATGCAGTATTGAGAATGGAAGCAAACAGGAAATCCTCAGCCCGAAGGTGTGAGAGCTATTACTTCTCCTGTTATCTCAGGAGTGCAAACATCATGATGCAGGCTAAACACGAGAAAGTGTGGTGTGTTTCATGTGTGGCACAGGACAGGAGCCCTCACGCCCTCCTTCAACTTGGAATTCCCCAACTGGCTAATCAATAATGCAGTAGGCCTATGTCTGCAGCTCCGGTTAGTTGAAGCGTCTCCCTGCTCTCTTGTTCTTTCTCTCCAGAGAGGTGGCCTCCATCTCAGCCGGTTCAATACCAGACTGCGTCTGATCTGCGATCAATCCGCAGTGCAAAGAGCCAGACCGGCGCTCTGTGCAGACTGTTAACCTTGGCTCTGTGTCTTTACATAGATGCTTAGAAGTAGATGGACGTCGTCCCTTCATGTGCCCATTAATGCTGCTGGAAAGTCATTAGTCTTGGTATAGGAGCGAGGCAGTGATCAAAGAGCTTTGTGTGTGAGGCGGGTGATCACAGGCGCATATGGTTGCTCATTTTAACAGCTGCCAGCGGAAATAAAGATAACACGGCAGATTTGGCTTTCTTGTTGCTATTAGAGCTTTAAGAGACTTTCTAAATTATTCAAAAAAAGTACCCCAGACTAAATCGAATCGACATGGTAGAAATTTGCCATATCAATCAAGTTAATGCTCCTTTTTTAGTTTTTAATATATATATATATATAACATTATACAAAAACATATTGGTAATTATTATTACCATTTCGTCCAATATGTTATGTACAGTCTGTGAGTTTATGGCCGTTGTTGGGTTTTTTCTGAACATGCAGAATATCTGACGTCTGTGACAAATTAACATTAGTTAATGTCATGAATAGGCCCAAACTTAAAACAGAAAAGAGAAAGAATCTGTATTTGACAAACACTTCAGACACGGTGGAGCATCCCTCTGCTGCCCTGCCTAGCTGCAGTCTTTCCTCACGGTGTCATGGCTTTATTAGGAAGACCGTCATCTCAGATATGCAAACATTGCTGTCAGGCAGATGGATGGAGCTGGGAATAAGAGGAAACAGTGGTGGGACTGTGGAGACATGCGGCAGGCAGCAAGAACATGAATGTCATGGAGATGCTGATCCTTTTGCTCTTTAAGTCTCAGCGGAGGAGCGCCTACATCTTTCGGTGTGACATCCTGACTCCTTTTCATAAGGAATTTGGGGTGGTTAATGCTGCATTTATTCTTCCTCTCACAGGGGCGATGGACGGACATAAAGTGTTGTTCTGAGTCACAGAGTTCCTTCAAGAGCCTGTGAGGCCCCTGTGAGTGAGGGCTTTAGGTGTCTGGAGGAAACGCAATAACCCCTCGGTTCAGAGCATTTCCTTTCCACAGAATTATTTGCCTCTGAAGTCAAGTGGAGGAGAAGTAATCCTATACTTTTACAACCTGACCAAAACAGTCGGCTACAGTCTGAAAGCCAAGAAAGCTCTTGTTTGCACTTTGAGATCTCATACATCCTGGCCCTTTTTGAAAAGCTAAATATAGTTTGTGATGACAAGTCTGGAAAGTGATTTTTGATTTCGATTTTTTTTCTGTGTGTGTGTGTCTAATGGGAGTTGCCCAAAGAAAGAAACACTACTTCAGCGAGTCAGCTTGCTCAGCGAGTTTACAAGAGCTGAGCAGGAGATATTGTTTCAGAGCTGCTGCTTGGCCAGTTCACCGCATGGAGGGGTTGAAGCCGAGGCCAGGAGAGAGAAAGCTGAGGAGGTGGGTTGAAGTGTGTTGTGTTTCTGTTGGCTCGCCAAGAGTCTAGCTATAGTATGTTGACGTGAACTACACCTGTAACAAAGGTCAATAAATCCCACTGTTAAAGTAATAGTGCAACAATTTGGGAAACATTTGCTTTCTTGTGGAGAGTTAGATGAGACTCTCATAGTTGTCCGTTAAATATGAAGCTACTGCCAAAAGATGGTTAGCTTATAGCGTTACTGCTGAGTTACTTAACCCATGGCTCACACTTCATTTGTCACAGACGTCAGATGTTATGCATGTTCAGAAAAAAGCCCAACAGCAGCCATTAACACCCACTCACAGACTACATAACATATTGGAAGAAATGGTAATGAAGTGTAATTCAGAGCAGGGTGGTGTCATTGGCAAACAAAATGTGCAGATGAAAACTGCTGAGAATTATTGTAACTATATTGTGTGAATAAAAATATAAACACCATTTTGTTGAAAGCTAAATATCCAGAGGGAGTCTCAGGAATATGATAATTGATGGCTTTGCACAGAGAGTATGAATATGGAATTACAGCATAATATTATATCTGGCTGAAAAGTGCTGTGGTTTCTCCCAACTGCTGTAGGCGATTGGCAGCATCTCCCCACAGAAGGTCAGAGGACAGAAGGAGGAGCGAGGGAGATGACTGCATGTTAACATGGGGTTGGAGGTTTGGCACCCTTTTTGCTTTTTTTGTGAGCATGGACGTGGTGCGGTGCAGAATAGTAATACAGCGTTTGTATTTTGTTACGTGTGTTTAAAAGCCTTGAGCTGCCTGGGGTGATTTAATATCCGCGTCGTGAGAATAAGCACATTGTTCAACTGTGATTCTTTTTTGTCTGTGTTTTCGCAACCTTTAAGCCTGCACCAGGGTACACGATGATTGTGAGAGATGGAAAATTTAATTAATAAGGGGAAAAACATACAGGCTTTACTGAGTGTAAAAAATAAATGATAGAAAGTTATTGCTATTCATGTTACACAATTGACTTAATGATTTTGTCAAAATCATTTTATTCACCTTTCCCTAGTCACCATCTCAGAATCAGAACCATTTAATTGCCAAAGTATGTTGCACATAAAAGGAACTTAACAACAATCAACACAGTGCAAATTACAAGACATGATTTAAAAATAGAAACTTAGTGAAATTTACAATAAAATATGGTAAATAAACAAACAAGAGTATATTAAAACAAGTATATTATATACGTGTCAAGTGTATATTAATAGAGTGGTGTTTAAGAAGAAATCCTGGGGATGTAAGAGTCAGTGGGGGTCCCGGGATTTGTTAATGAGTCCAACTGAAGACGGGAAGAAACTGTTCTCATGGCGTGAGATCTTGGTCCTGATGGACCGCAGCCTCCTGCCAGATGGAAGAGGCAGGAACAGTTTATGCCCAGGGTGAGAGGGGTCGGCTACAATCCTTCTTGCTCGCTTCAGGGTCCTGGAAGCGAACAAGTCACGGAGGGACGACAGATTGCAGCCAATCACACTCTCGGGATCTCATCCTTTTTAATGACTTTATATCCAATAAATGAAAAAATAGCTTTGTAGCACATCGGTAGTGTACTTCCTAAAAATGCATCTAATTCAGTGATTCAGTCACTGATAACACAACAACATTAAGAGTCTTTGTCACATTTTTAAGGAGGTCAACAGCGCGTCTCCGCGGCTCTCTGCGAGCTCCACCACCCATCTCAGTGGCTCAAAATGAAAATGTGAACGTCTTAGTTTAGCGTGTTAGCTTGTCAGCAGTTATTAGGTCATAAGCCAAAGTAGTGGCCAAATCAAACTCTGCGCAAGACGAACAGTCGGGATCACCAAAGTCATTAGGATTCATTGTCTTGGGACCATGAATATCTGTAATTGCATGGCAATGCATTTTACATTGATACAATATAAAGACAATCATAGCTTGTGTAACTTGCACATTTCCGCTCAGTCACTGTTCCTAAATGTACTGCATCTGTCATCCACACCCATGGACCCAAAATGAGTCTCCACCCCAATACAGTTTCAGCACAGTTCACTTCCTCTTCTCACTGACGTTGTCCCAGAGTTCACACTGCTCCTGTGTGAACCAACTCAAAGAAGGCTCAATTCATCCAGCTTGTGTTGTCAGCACATTTAGACTAAATGTTATCGTAGCACTTTTGAAAAGATACTACAGATTTTAAGCTTTGAACATCCCCAGTATGGAGCTCATCACCTAACGACAGCTGATGAGTATTTTGCAGCATTTATCCGCTAAAGAGACAAATACAGGGCTGTGGCAATAACTGCAATTTTGTAATACTGTGCTATTGACAAGCCAACCGCCAAAACTGCTGTGTTCATGTTATTTCTTTTTTTTAACCCTTTGCAATGGGAGCGTCTGGTACAATGCAAGCAGCTCAAGGAGGAATAGCAATCTATTCTGCACTGATTGCTACACCTTTGGTGGTTTTTTTTTGGGGTCGCCGAGGGTAAAACACTTTGCTTGTCATTGTCACTTTTTACCCAACCATTCAATCACAATGGCGGTAGGACCAACCCTCACGTCCAACATGTAACATAAAAGTGCTGAAC